GGATCAATTCCAGTGTCAATAAACCCAATCACAATTCCCTCTCCAGCAGTTTCATAACCACCTTCTTGAACCCATGCCCCCTTCGGTAGACCCAAGAACTGTGGTGTATGGGTGGTTGCAGTTCTAACAGAAAAATCCAAAACCACATTTGCCACTTCTCTTCTCCTTAAAAGCTTATCTGCCTTGAAAATTGACCAAAATAACCATAATAAGTACATTGAAAGTATTTTTCCCAAAATACTGACTAATGATTCAGCTATAACCGAAAAAATTCCCAGGCATTTGTAATCTCGATGAGGAACCATAGCCCCACCAAAGAGAGCATTCAATCTAGTATCTAGAACTACAAATTACTTCAACAAAGATGAATATAAATACAAGTAATCAACATCAAATGAAAAATGTCGAGTGATATCCATAAATCGAACACCTGTTCTGGAGTTACAAGCACCGAAAACCCATTAATCAAGTAGTGGTAGCTATAAAGCTTCAGATACTTCTCCCCTCTTAGCACCCTCCTCAATAGCGAATCATGGACTCGAGCAAGATAAGAACTTGACCTCTGCCCAGATCTTGAATGATTCCTATTTCAGAAAGAATAAAATTCACATTATAATTAACAAAGTCTCCCACTTTTATAAGCAACCAACAAAATTGGGAATGAACTAAAAAGAGGAAACCTTGAAGGACCAAAATTAAACCTTCAGTCAAGGTGAAAAATGAACAACGGATTAAAAAGTAAGCAAAAATTAAATAGTGAAGCTGGCTCTATTTTACACTCTTTACTCCTAATAGAACCTCAAAAACGCAGAAAATGCTCCGGAAATATCAATACTAAGTAGAAGAAACAAAATTGGGTAGGATTAACAGTAGGACATTTAGAAGCTTCCATGGCTTCCTGACAGACAATGCCATAAGCATCCCACTCAAAGAAACAAGAGGGCCCAATTAGAAAAATACAGTGAAATCAGAATCTTCACCAGTCAATAACTAGAAAATTGAACTAAAACAATTAGTGGGGACTAAAAAAAATGATTTCTTTGTACCAAATCAGAAAACTTTATGTACCCACTAAAACCCTAACCGGACTAAAAGAACAAATGCAGCAAGTAGCAGAATGGAAAACCAAACCAAACAAAGTAAAAAGCTAAAGAGGAAAACAAATACAAGTTGCAAATAACATGGTGACCACTAAAACTCCACTTAAAACTTCCAAATGAGAAAAGTGAAGAAGTGAAGAAGTTCAAGTTCAGTACCTTGGTTTGTGAAATCTACTCATTCTACCAGGAGGAAGACCGTGTCTGGACCCATGTCTTCCCCTTACCAGTTCTCCCTCAAAGTGATGAACAGCAGGAGCTTGTTTGAGAGTAACAATGTACACAGCAGTAATGTTTGAGTCCGAATCATCCTGACAAAGAGCACCCAAAAACAAACCCAAAGAAAGCACCAGCACCAAACGTACCCAGTAAAAACTCTCCATTTGAAAGAAGGGGAAATTAAAGAAAGACGAAAAAAAAAAAATCCAATCTCAGAATCCAAACACTTCTACCAACTATCCTCAGTACACTCCTCTAAAAGCAACAGAAGCTTGTCTTGGACAACCCATTACTCCATTACTTGCTTTCTCCTCAAGTACCCAGAAGAAAAATATGCATGAAAAGAGAAGAGAAACCGGAGAAGGAGATGCCCTTTTGGAAACGTGAAAACAGCTTGGAAAAGAAAGAGCAAAAACTCATTAATAAACCTCACGGAAGCTAAGTGGAATTCCAGATAGCAACCGCCCCTTTTCGGTGCTGAGAAGAAAGCAAAAGAAATCTTTTGTACAGTCTCCACAGAGAGAGAGAGAGAGAGAGATTAGGAGTAGTAGTTTGAGGGTAATATACAGACAGCCGAAGCACGGAGAGAATCTGTAACTTTTCTTGGGTGGTGTGAATATGAACGTTTATTGTTAAATCGGAAGAAAACAAAATAAAATCGAACGTTTCATTTTGTAATTTTCCCCATTTTCATGTCTTGTACTGTCAGTGATTTGTAGCAATCATTTTTTGTGTTCTTGCCGTGATAAAAATCCAAACTTTCTGCAATTATTTTGTGTTAATTTCTTGGATCCTTCTATTGGGCATGCTGTTATCAGAATATCAGTTGTCAATTCTCACAACCCACAGAGTAAAAAACCCTGAATGTATTTTATTCTTGGTTAGGTGTAATATATGTATAGCCCTAAATATTAAATTGAATTTTTTTTTTTCTTTTGCCATTTTTGTCTCTCTCTCATTTCAAAAAAAAAAAATACTTGTATTAACTCTTATTTATTAAATTGCACTAAATATTATTAATTTAAATATTTAAAAAATAGTACAACAGCTACTTTAATAATTTAAGCCTATATTTATACATATAAGTACATATATATATATATATGCTTGTCAATAAACGAAAACGACGTCGTTCTTGTGGATAACAAAGAATCCTATAAAGTCAAAATGGAAACTTTCTAATAATTTGGTTTAGAAATGGAGTTATGGTAAGAGATGATGAAAAGTGAAGTTAGCATTTAAAAGTAAGAACACATGTACCTATAGTATTTGTATGTATATGTGTATAGGCATATATACGTATGTATATGTATACATATACGTATGTATATGTATAATTTATATATATAAAGGAAGAGAATAATGAAAACAAGGGAGGGAAAAGTGGTGGGTGGTGGGGGCAAAAGCAAAGAAAATGAATGATGAAGAGGAGAAATTGCCAGGCTTTTGCTATCTTTTTTCCTTTTGTCTATTTCTTATCCCTTCCCAACGTTCCAATTTTTTTATATTGTAAATATTTGTTATATATATATATAAATATATATAGGCTTGTGGGACGGTACATTAGGTTAATCTGGCCAATTAACTATGCACTAATTATTAATTAAAAGATTAATTTTTTTAAAAAAAAAAGTTTAAGAACATGGGATTTTGCTAAAAATTCCAATTATGGAAATGGTTTTTTTTTTCAAGTTCTTATTTTTGAATTTTTACGGTTTTATTTAAATAGTTTTATGATTATTTTGTTTCGATTATCTTATAAATAAAACGAATCGAAATGAAAAAAGAAAACGGTAATTACCATTGTCGTTACCCATTTCGTAATTTTTATTATTACCACTTTTGTTATTGTACATTATTGTCACAGCATCATATCCGTTATTGTTATTATTATTGTCATTATCATCTATTTCTGTTATTATTACTACTGTAATTACTATTAATATTATCAATTTTTATTGTTACCGTCATTATTTCTTTTGTTATTATTGATATTGTCAGTACGAATATAATTATTTATATATTTTCGCTATCGTTATTACCCATTTCGTAATATTTATTATTATTATTTTCATTACTGTACATTACTGTCACAGTATCAT